GCACTCCCTAAGGATTAAGTTAGTATTGCTATTAGACAGGAACTACTGTTAGAAATCTAAACAAGGAAAGATATCTGATTCATACTCAGAGAAGTAAAACTAAGGAAATATAAAGAGGTAGTTTCAACCTGTGCTGTTAATTTCTGTGCCACCAGTTAAGAGAAATTCAACTTCAGGATGATAGTTGAAAATTTATATTTGCTTGAATTTTTATATATGCTATTTTATTTCTTATTTACTCAAAATAAAAGACTAAGTCTGGTTCTGTGTATCAAAATTTTTGAATACACAAACAGAAAAAAAGAAATAAAACAATATCATACTGGAAGCACACTTAAAAAGAAGGAGAAATATTTTATGGTAAAATAATGCTAGAGAAGGATAACAGTTCTAAATATGTATGTAAGCATCATCATATCTTCAAAATATATTTTAAAAGATTGACATACTTAAACAGAAAAATAGACAAATCCACAATCATAATGGAAGATTTAATACATTCTTCCAATATCTAATAGAATACACAGATCAAAACAAGTAACATAAAATATTTAGACAATAGAGTCATAAATTTGACCTACTGATATAGGTAGAATATTGACCAGATAATGGGTCATAAAGGAAATCTCATCAAGGGGCACCCAGGTGGCTCAGTCCATGAAGCACCCAACTCAGAATATCTGCTCAGGTCATGATCTCATGGCTATGGGATCGAGCTCCTCATGGGGCTCTGCACTAAGATTGGAGCCTGCTTGGGATTCTCTCTCCCCTGTACCTCTGCCCTTCCCCTACTGGTGCTCTCTGTCTCAAAATAAATAAACATTTAAAAAAAAGAAAATCACATAAATTTTTAAATTCTTTTTGTAAATTTTTATTTAAATACCTGTTAGTTAACATATAGTGTAATATTAGTTTCAGGTGTAGAATATAGTAATTCAAAACTTTCATACAACACCCAATGCTAATCACAAGTGCACTCCTTAATCCCATTCACCTATTTAACCCATCCCCTGACCTACCTCCCCTCTGGTAACTATCAATTTTTTTCTCAATAGTTAAGACTCTGTTCCTTGCTTTCCTTTCTTCCTCTTTTCCCCCCTTTGCTTGCTTGTTTTGTTTCTTAAATTCCACATATGAGTGAAATCATATGGTATTTCTCTTTCTCTGGCTGACTTACTTCACTTAGCAATTATACTCTCTAGCTCCATCCATGTTGTTGCAAATGGCAAGATTTCCTTCTTTTTTATGGCTGGGAAATATTCCATTCTGTATACATATACCACTTCCTTATCCATTTATTAGTCAATGGACATTTGGGCTATTTCCATAATTTGACTATTGTTACTGTTATAAACATTGGAGTGCATGTACTATTTTGAATTAGTCTTTTTGTACACTTTGGGTAAATACCTAGTAGTGCAATTGTTAGATTGTAGGGTAGTTCTATTTTTAACTTTTTGAGAAAACTCTGTACTATTTTCCAGAGTATCTGTACCAGTTTGCATTCCAACCAACAGTTCAAGAGGATTTCCCTTCCTCCACATCCTCGATGACACCTGTTGTTTTCTGTTAATTTTAGCCATTCTGACAGGTGTGAGGTGATATGTCATTGTAATTTTGATTTGTATTTCCCTGATGGTGAGAGATGTTGAGCATCTTTTCATATGTCTGTTAGCCATCTGGATGTGTTCTCTGAAAAATATCTATTCATATCTTCTGCCCATTTTTTAAAATTTTTTTAAATGTTTCTTTATTTTTGAGAGACAGAGTGCAAGCAGAAGAGGGGCAGAGAAAGAGAGAGACACAGAATGGAGGTAGGCTCCAGGCTCTGAGCTGTCAGCACAATGCCTGAGAAGGGGCTTGAACTCACGAACTGTGAGATCATGACCTGAGCTGAAGTTGGACACTGAAGCAACTGAGCCACCCAAGTGTCCCTCTTCTGCCCATTTCTTAACCGGATTATTTATTGTTTGTGTGTTGAATTTTATAAGTTCTTTCTATATTTTGGATATTAATCTTGTGAAATTTTGAAAGATTGAAATTATTGAGAGTACATCTTCAGACCAAACAAAATTTAAAAAGAAATCAATTTAAAAGATAACTAGAAAAGCCCCAAGTTACCAGAAATAGACACTTTAGAAGAAATTCCTTTAAAAAATTAAAGCAGGATGCCTAGCTTTTGCAGTATGAAGAGCTTGGTGAACTCACTGAGCTTAGTGAGGATGTTAGGAAACGGATCCACATTTCTGGTTTTCTGATTTAGGCCAAAAGTCAGAATGAAGCAGTATAGTAGGAAAGAGAAGATATATTCAGTAAATAGCGCCAGAACAGTTGGATAGCCATATTTTAAAAATGTATCTGTTGCTCTTTAGTATAACATACATAGAAGTCAAATACAGGTAAATGGGAAAGAGAAAACAATGCTTTTAGAAGAAGGATCATTGTATCCTAGGAATAGGCAAGGAATTCTTAAATAGGACACAAAATACACTAACTCAAGTAGGAAAAAATAGAAAATTTATTCTATTTTAAAATTAAGAAAATTTCTGGGGCATCTGCATGGCTCAGCCAGTTAAGCATCCAACTTTGGCTCAGGTCATGATCTCATAGTTTGTGGGTTCAAGCCCCTCATCAGGCTCAGTGCTGACAGCTCACAGCCTGGAGCCTGCTTCATATTCTGTGTCTCCCTCTCTGCCCATCCCTCTTTTGCAGTCTGCCTCTCTCTCTCAAAAATAAGCTAACATTTAAAAAAAAAAAACTTTAATTAAGAAAATTTCTTTCTTTAATTTATTAATTTATTTTGAGAGAGAAAGAGTATGGGCAAGCCTGACCACATGGCATGATGGGGGTGGGGTGGTGTGGAAAAGCAGAGAGGGAGGGAAAGAGAAAGAATCCCAAGCAGCCTCTACACTGTCAGCAGGAAGCCCAACATGGAGCTTGAATCAGGAACTGTGATGTCACTACATGAGCCAAACCAAGAGTTGGATGCTTAACTGACTGAGCCACCTGGCCACCCCAAGAAAATTTCTTTTCTTTTTAAGCTCCAAAAATTTTGTTTTTGTCCATTACAATTGTATCCTGTGACATTTCAAAGGGCTTTCTCTGCTGTAGCTAGAGCCAGAGACATACAGGGGACTTAGTGACCCAGAATTATTTTCTGCTTAAACATGCCAGTGAATTCAGCCTAAATTTGTGGTTTGAACCCTCTGAAAAAGTGTCCAACTTCCAAAGCAGGCTTCAAGAATACATTAGAAAAAATTACACCCAAGCATAATTATGTAAACCAAATATCTAATTGTTCAATTCAAAATGAAGAAATTCTGCTCATTAAAAAGATGGAACACTGAGCAAAAGACAACCCATGGACTGAGAAGATATTTATAATACATATGTCCAAGAATGTATAAAGAATAGAAAGAATTCCTACAGTGAGATAAGTAAAAGACAGCTAAGTCGGTAGAAAAGACTTGAATAGACAATTCATCCAAGAGGAAATATAAATGACCAATTGGTACATGAGAGTTCTCAACTTCATTCGTCATCAGGAAAAGGCATATTAAAACCACAAAGAATTACTGCTTTCTTTGTCTTCACCAAAATGGCTAAAATTACACAGACTGGAAACATTAAGTGTGTTGAGGATTTGGAGCAATGTATACACTGCGGATGGCACACCAATTAGCATAATCCTTTAGGAAAACTCTCATGTTACCTATTACACCTACACATATTCGTGCATATGTCCTACCATTTCACTCTCATGTGCTCATCAGAAATGACCACGTGTCTTTACCAAAACCTCACAGTAGCCTCTTAGAAGCACTATTTCTATTAGCTCCTAACTAAGATCTACTCAGACGCCCACTAACAGGCACAGAAATAAAATGAGATAGAGTCAAAGAATTGACCTTACACAGCCAGAAGAATTAATACTCCACAATGAAGCCCAGCCGTGTGGTTGAATGACAAACATAGTTTTTAACCAAAGTCTCTAAAGACTAAGGAATCAGCATCCGATCTTTCAGTTTATGTAAAGTACAAAACAGGCAAACGGACTCCATGTTCTCAGAGATCCGGACAGCAGTCACCCTCTGTGTGAGGTGAGGGGAGGGCGAGAGCGACTGAGGAAGGGACAGCTGGGGCTTCCCTGAGACCTCGTGCTGTGCTTTCCTGAGCTCGGTGCTGGTGTGTAGGCCCTGCGCCTTCTCGAGATTCAGCAAACCCTTTGCTTATGTTCTTTATGCTTATATTGAAACACGAAGTTCTAAAAATTCAGCATTCCAGTGTCTTCGTTTTGAACGGTTAAACTCATTTATGTCCAATGAGGGTGATCCTGTTGTTTCACACACGTATATGTCACGTCCTTAAGAGAGTGAGTGTGTGGATTGTCGGACAAGCAGGCCCTAAATGTCAGCCAGCACTGCACTCTTGGCAAGGTTCACTCACGTTGTCTGGGTCTTGATTGTGAAAGTATTGCCTAATGTCAAGCTCTGTAAATTATTTCTTTTTTAACGTTTAATTATATTTCAAAGAGAGAGAGAGACAGTGTGTGAACAGAGGAGGGTCAGAGAGAGAGAGAGAGATACAGAATTCAAAGCAGGTTCCAGGCTCTGAGCCATCAGCAAACAACCCTACACAGGGCTCGAACCCCAAACCGTGAGATGACGACCTGAGCCGAAGTCAGATGCATAACCAACTGAGCCACCCAGGCTCCCCTGTGAATGATTTTTAAAGGAGCTTCTATTATTTTATCATTTGAGGTTTACACACAATAGACCTGAATAGCTTTCCGTAATTAGAGAGTTAATGAAATCCAAAGTATATCACTGGTTACTGCCTCGCACATTCCAAGAACCTGAACGTGTTCCGGCAGAGAACATGCCTGGGTTTATAAAAACAAAACAAAGCAGGTCACGGTATTAACATTCAGCGGGAACGCAGTGAGAATCTGATTCACACTCTGGCACTGCTGGGGCTTGTGACTGACTTTTACTTTGCAGAAGTTTCTGGTGGGCGGAGCATCTAGTAATCCCTTTAATTTCCAAACTGGGTTTCAACTTCCTTTTGGAGCAACTGCTTTCCTGCTCTAATCACAACTTTTAGCAGAAGAGAAGCTGGCATAGTCTGAGCAGTGTCGGCTGTTTAATGTGTCCCTAAGGATCCTCAAAATGAGATTTCTAGCAGCGATTGTTTGGCTTGTGTGGTGGACTGTTTGTGTTGCAGAAGGTAAGAGTAAAAAAAAGAAAATTTTTTGCAAAACATTTGCTATAATGCTTTTCATGGTTGTAATAGGAATTTTGTCTATAAGATGTGATTTAATTACTGTTCTATAGCTTAGTGTGTGAGTGGCTCTTCACATTGTTAAGTTTCAAAAATTATAAGTAGCTTATTTAAATGTTGTGATTATTCATCATAATTTTATTTAATGTAAAAATTCAAAACATGTTTTAATATTTTAAAAGCTGTAATATAAGCATTTCCCTTGTAGTTATTATAAAACTTAATTTACTTTTTTTGCTGAGAATTTTCACCCAAATGCTTTGTGTGAAAGTATTAAGAAGCATATGAACATATTAGAACCAGAACAGAAATTAGACAGTAGAAGCCTTCAATCATCTAATGATTGGATTTATCTCAGATATAGATGTTAACTCTTTCTAAAGAAAAATCTATTTATCATTTACAACTGTTACTGCCATGACCTTAAAAGTCTTTAGACAATCAAGCATTATTTGTACCATTAGAATGAAAATATCACATAAATTGAAAAACTTGCATATGCCGTGGCTGTACCATCTCAGTCATTCACATGGGTATTTTCCTGGTTATACTTGAAGTATGTTGTAGAAGAACAGTCTTTAGGGGTACTGAATATGAACATAGAAGGTTTGTTCTGGTATTATTCATGCAATTTCTAGATATAGAATTAAATTTAGTTCTAACACTACTTCTCAATAGATTAAAAAGTTTCTTTGGATGGAATTTAATTTCTAGTTCATGATAGGTAACTAATTGTATGATAGTATTTGATTGACTCTATTTTCATTGACATTTTTAAAGCAAATGAGCTACCTATCATTCATAAATTTCCAAAACATCTCACTAAGTCAGCAAATTTTTTGAATGCTTACTTCCTGTCAGCCTTTAAGCATTGAGATATATTAGCAAATAACACTAAGTCTCTGTCATTGATGGTCTTTCAATCTAAAGAATAAAGGCAGATCTCTCTTTTTAATTGTATTCTTTAGTCACTTTTTAAGGTTTATTCAAATGTGCTTAATTTTTTTCTGAGACACAGTGTTTTTTTAGTTTCACATTCTGATATGCTATTGCTTGATTTTAGTTCAGAAACCTTATATACAGCCACCTTTTAAATTAGCTATACAATCATTTCCCTGAACTTATAAATATTGCAGTTAGTATTCAAATGTAAAATATGATTGTACTGACAAAGATTTCCAGGACACTGTTAATGCTACCAATCATCACAAACATCTTTTTCTGTACATAAGTGTTTTTGTCTTTTCTTTAGCAGGAGTACTTTTAGTGTCTCAATGTTTCCATATTGTCTGCCTAGGCTTTATGTACACATCATTTGTCATGTAAGGAAGATTTGTTTTCTTTCCAGCTCATGTTTAAAACTCAAGAATTCACGCCAAGTGTAATTAAACTGTTTAAGTAATTACAAAGTGAAATTTTAAAATCCTGTGCAACAAAATATGTATTAAAAATTAATAGTGATTTAAACTCCTTACTTGTAATAACTGATTCCAGTTGACTGTTTTCACCTGTATTATCTATTTCATCAAAATGTGTTTAAATGTGGTATCAGTTTCTGCTGGTGAATTAGGCATTAGGACTCTACATACTATGGTGAGTCTGACTCACCATATCTGGCTAATTTCTAGCAGAGGAAGTATAACATTACTATTTAAAGCAATGCTTAGGTTAGCCTCATGATTTTCACAAAAGTACGCATGATGCACAAGTGAGTAGGAAAAAATTACATGAATTTTCAGCAGATCCAGAACTGCGATTTATTCCTTCTTTGCCAAAAAGTTCTAAAACTGCTTTGAAATGCCAATTCCATCCGTCTACCATACCTAACAGAAATTTCACTCAGCAAGGTAGCCTTGCCCATTAAAAATATCCATATATCCTTCAGTAGTTGCCTCTGGTTTTATTTCCCATGTAGAAATAAATATGGAATATTACATTGAGATATTGAGAAATACTAAATTGAATACTGAATGGTAAATTGAGGAATTGGGAAAGGACAGTTTAGAACATCAGCACAATCTGCATTACTCAACCAGGCTTAATATTTTAGCATTTCATAAATTGTCTCTGGCCTATTCAGAGTGAACATTTCCTCAAAAAAAAAAAAAAAAAAAAAAAGAACACTCCTCACTACTAAAGAGGAATGATAGCCTGTAGGAAGAATTTATTGGCCCAAGTTTCATGGAGACCAATTAGTACCTTTTCAATGCAGCAGGCTCTCTGCATTCCCATTGCCTGGTGTCTAGAAATATTAGTTGCTTCCTTGTAAAACATCACAGCTGGATGAGTCACCACAGGCTGCTAAGAATCTGGTCATATTTACAGGACAAAGTTTAGAATAACAGTCCCTCAATCTTAGCACATAGTTTCTGCTTTCTGGAATATATTACGACCAAGCTTCTCAAGTAGACCATTTAGATTTAAGGTCTAAAAAGTGTTTAATCTTTTAAATTAACCCCATCCCAGAAATTCCTGGTTGAGAACTGTGAATAAATTGAAACCTACTGAAACATGTCCAAGTACACACTGGCGATTTTGTTTGGAGAGATGTAGGTGTTCTCTAATTCTGGAGGCTTCAAGGACAAAAAATGTTCTTTCAGGACTTAAAATATATTAGAGATCAAAGCTAGAGAGATTCTTTTCTACCATAAAGTGAAGGAAAACAATTTTTTATATATTGTTTAAAATACAAGAAAGTTTCAAATTTTAGAGTTAACCCTAAATGGAAAAAATAATTGATATTATAAATCATAAGAATTACTTATAAATTAATTAAAAGTACTATTTTATAAAGTATATGTGAGTGTTATACATAGATATCTAATTCAGGAAACTTGAGGTAGTGGTTTTTAATCTTAAATTCTATGTTTCAATTCCAATATGATAAATAAGAATTCTCCTTCTCCCTTCACAAAAACCCCTCGTTTTCAGAAATAGTTATGTGGTGTTTACAGCTGTGGTGTAATTTAGGTTGTGCAATGGCCCAACTGCCATCAATATCCTCTCTTCTTTGAAAATGTTATAAGGGCACCTGGATGGCTCATCAGCTCAGGTCATGTTCTCACAGTTTGTGGGACTGAACCCCATGTCAGGCTCTGCACTAATAGTATAAAGCCTGTCTAGGATTCTCCCTCCCTCCCTCTCCCTCTCTCTCTCTCTCTCTCACTCTTTCTACTCCTCCAGTGCTTTTTGATGAAGGTAAGAAAATAGAGACTATAGGATCATTTAGAGGAGGCAAGAAATCCAAGTTGGATTGAGAGGCTGGAGTGGGATGTTTGGGGAGTTGGTTTCTAAGAGCTGGAATGAAGGAGACAAATATGTCAGGGTCACAATGGCATCTTGGGTAGGCTTTGAAGATTGAATAGGAGTCAACCCAATTAGGATACAATTAGGGTGCCTGTGTGGCTCAGTTGGTGCCGGGAGCCGCACCAGCCTCTCTGGATGGCAGTCACAGCAAGGAAATGGCAGTGTTTGCAGCTTCTGCCATGAGAAACGAAAACTGGTATCTCTTTCTGCTACTACTGGCTCATATTGGAAATAAGGCTGCTGTTATTGACCAGGCCTCACATTATTCCATATCAGACCAATATTCCAAACACAGATACCTCATAAGAAAAAGCATATTCCTGCCTTTACAAAAGAGATTTTAGATGAAAGCTCTGTGGATGATTGTAAAAAGCCTCTTCCTATGGACCTTGCATATCAAAGACAATTGAGTCTGGCCCTGAGATTAGGAGCCTAATTTAGAGTTAAGGGCAAATATCCACCCACACCCATTTGTTTCTGCTTAGAGCATTTTCTGGCCTTGTATATGCTGATTGCTCCCTGTGAAGGAACCTACTGAGGAACTTCTTCTTTTGTGATTATGAGAGCAGAGGTGTTCCCTGAAAGACCTGTTTTTCTTGATACTTCCACCTTAAACAAACAAGCTATTGACCCCGGCCCACAGAGAAGTAACTTCACCCGATTTATGCTGAAAACTTTGTCTGGTATGCTAAAGACGCCTTCCTCCCATAGGATAGGCATCTAAATCCCCTACCTCAATCACTGTTGTAAACGTTATGCATGAGTCTTCTACATATCTATGTTCTGGGAAATTTCTTACATATCAAAGAAGTTTGTTATCAGAAACCATTCTCTAAGGCATATGCCACTTTTGTGCCGTCCCCCAAACAATTAATGATAAAATAAAGTTGAGCCCCAGTCAGAGCAGAGATGCCTGCCTGGTGATCAGAAAGAATCTCGGGGCTCTTTCACTCTCTCTTGCCAACACGGTCCATCCTTCAGGGACCCCTGGACCTGTCTGAGCCAGCTCGGCCTCCAGCAAGTTGGTTAAGAATCAGACTCTTGATTTGGCTCAGGTCATGATCTCAGTTATGAGATCGAGCCCCTCTGGAGTTCCATACTGGGAATGGACCCTGCTTGGGATTCTCTCTCTCTTTCTCTCTCTCTCTCTCTCTCCCTCCCCCCTTCTACCCTTGCCGCCTTCATCAAAACAAAAACAAAAACCCAAAACAAGACAAAAAGACTGAGGAAACATCAATTGTGTTTACAAAAGACTAATTGCAGGTCTGTAAAAATGGAGGATTGGAATCATCCCCCGCATTTCTAAATCTTCCATCAGTGGCATTTCCACAAGTACTACAGGTGAAATTGAGTATAGTGTGTGATGTTTTTCTTCTTTTTTTTTTTATTCTTATCCTCAAGATTATCATTATCATGCAAAATCATTCCTGCTACAGCTTTTAAAGGTCCTCTTTTTAATGTCACCCTGTAACTAAACTCCTTTTTATAGCAACCTGTCAGTATATACAAAAATTTATTTTAAGAAGCTACCATTTTGACTTGAACAATAATTGACATTAGGTAGTAGCGATCCAAATACTACATATTTTCAGAAATTTGATTTCACTGATATTTTCAAAGTATATCCTGATAGTATCCTG